ATAATTAATCTCACATCTTTATTTTTATTACTTATTGAGTTCCAACTTCAATCTTCACTCTTCAAAGGCATAAGATAGCATATATGCATATCTTAGTTCGTTGAATTGAATCTTTCTCATTTATGATTCTTGTAATTAGAAAAAGAACAATAGAAAAAAAGTATGACTGAATATGAGCTTACATTACATTCTTTTTAATTTTCATATTCTCCCCCCTTTTTTTATCTCCCTTCATATTTATATGGCTATCAGTAAGCCACATTAATGATTCTTCTGAACCTTACCAACAAAACAAGAGAGCAGACACTATAAACAAAGGTAACACGTCACATCAAATAGTAGCATAATCTTTCCTCTCATATACGTGAAATCAACTTACAGAATCAAGTCAATCTTTCAAAGTATTTTCAATGTAAACTCTCTCGGGAGGTTTGGACGGAAATATTAAAAAGTCTACCTAACCGCAGAATTCTTGTTTTTTTATCTGTAGTGTAATATTCGGTTCTGTATGTATACAGCTCTTATATATGTCACCTCATTTGAGCCAATCTCAAGCAATGTTCTCCCCTGTTATTAATTAGAGTTGGTGTAACCTTAAAATTTGACCGAACAGTACAGTGTTATATATTTATGACCCTTTCAACTTGATGGAAAGTCACTGATATATCACAAGCAAATTTACTCCGAAACAAGGAACTGAAATCTAAAAGCAGTTGGTGTGGGTCTGAAACTCTCAAGGGACTACATGGTCCCAAGGTAAATAGCAATGGGATTGGAGGAAGCCGAATGCATTATTACTATTGTTCACTCTTGTATGAAATGGCCCCAAGAGATCAGAAATGGAGGCCCCAAGAGGCTGTCTGTCTATTTAGCATTTTCCACATCCAATGCGTGAATCAAATTATTATGGCTACGTTGTTCCTATCTTTTTCTGTTACAGTTAATGTTGGATTCTGGGAAATCGGCATCCAATGCCTGCATGGACTTGATCATATTCAAAGTGGTCACCATCAAACCCAAGCAGAGACAAATCAATACCCACAAGATCCATAACTTAGCCTTTCCCTTATATTTTCTTTTAACTTTGTACGACTCTACGTTAGGACCAGGTCTAGGGGCATTGAGAACACTGCACAGATCTTCTTTCTTTGGGTTAGCCATCTAATGAACAACAAGATTTATTGATAAATGAATCTCATTTCATTTTGTAAGGTAGGCGGGATTTCATGCAACTCTTAGTATTCACTAATCAGATAGTATGAATAACCACTAGAATGCTCAAGGACCCTGCCAGGGAAGCTTTCTGTTTTAGAAGAAATCAGATTCGAGAAGTTCCTGAGCATTGGAACTGTGTTTAAACTCAGGTTTTTTTTTTTTTGGGGGGGGGGGTTTTGAATTTAAGATGGAAAATTAATTGGTTTGGAGAGCAAAGGTTGGCTAATAAATAAGGGACTTCATTCGGCAGCAAACATATTGAATGAACTGAGTACAAGTTATTTATTAGTGTTTGTTTTATTACCTACTTAGAAGTAGTTTGAATAACAATGATCCAGAGGAGATCGAAATCATGTGAGAGGAGTCTTTAAAGTTTGGTTCTTGGAATCTCTCTGTGGGACCTCAAATAAATCTTCTTGGCGCCACAATGGGCCTCTGTCCCATCATATTCACGCAGTGTCATGTATGGAAAATAAAATGTTTTTTATGGGAGAAGTAGACAAGAAGCATTGAATACCTAAACTTAATGGCAAGAACAGTAATAGGTTTAGGTGGTCCAATCCAAATTCAAATTCTCTCCTAATAAGTTGTATGTCTTGACATTCGTTTTGGAGGAACATCCACTTTATGTCTTATTTTTAAACCTGCAACTTGCTGGTCCAAAAAAAAAAAAACTTGCAACTTTTTATATGTTAATTCTTCGCACAATCAAACAGTACATAGGAGCCGATAAAGATTTACCAAAGTTGAATATCTCACCATCTGTACATTTTATTAGAATGGATTTTCACTTAACTCGCTCATTATATATCAGTCAGCATACAGTACATGTAATAGTAATATTTTTCTGGTCTTAAATATAATATCTTTTTTACACTATAAAAAAGGTTTTATATTTATGATGGGAGGAGTATATCCTCACAAATTAATGTAAAGACAACAATGACAAACTGTAACTGTCACCTAAAAAAACAACGAAGAACTGTAGCTTTTCAAAGGTGAAAACCTAAAACGTGTGACAAAGTTGTACCTACCGCATTACACAAATTACTTGAGATTAAGAAGATAAGACTCAATTGGAAGCGAGTAAGAAGATAAGATGCTTTTTGGGTCTCTTTAGTTGCTTTACAAAGTCAGAAGAAAAGGACAAGAGGAGTTAGTGATGCTTTTAGGGGCCAGCCATGGCATAGCATGTCCCAAATCTGTGAAACTTAGCTGCCCTACTGCAACCATGTCTGGCTTAGCAGACAAAGATTTGGGTATCTTTTTACATAGCCAATACTGACCCAACCTATATCATCACCAGCTAAGCTTATGTAGGCTTAAATATGTTGCTTCAAACACACTCTCGCAGGGTAATAACCTTAATGGAATGCCAGTCCAAGATCTTTCAGGATCATGACAAAAAAGAAAACACAGATACACAAAACCAGAATATGCATGCCACGGTAGTACACAGGGAAAGTCTAACTCTGTGGGAGTCAATGTTACAGGAAGCGAAGGATGTCGTACAGAAACAGAAGACTGTTCCTATTGGTACAAAGGGAAGAAAGAATAAATGATACTAACGGGAAGGAGTAAATTAACGATAAAGCAAGTAATCCCATTTGTGTGTCTCTGCCCACAAGGCTTTTATCTGCAACGTACGGTAAAAGGATAAGATACCATTGGTCGTAGTTAGTTTTTTACGCGTCCAAAATTCTCATCAACATCGCGAAATTTTATGCAGGTGGGAATTGTTCGAATAACATTTCTTCACAGAAAGATAGAACCCGTGACTCTTTTTATGGTACATTATGATCTGTTGGTATGTATCGCAGTGGGTCAGCAGCAATCGTCCTAACTTGGATAATTGGGCCATATGCGTGAAAAGTAAAAGAAGTAAAGGCTGATTCTAATACAATTATCCCCCTCTTCCCTTCATCTTGGAATCTCAAGATTCAAAATTTTAACCCTTAAAGTGATTTCGTTAGGATGTGTACAGAGAAACTTTATCCTTGATGACAGCTTGACCAGTCCAGCCTGAAACGATCACCACTCAAAGTCGGTCATTATTCGCTTTTCATTAAAAAATATAATACATTTCTCTAGTGTCATTATTCTCGAACACAGGATGGATATAAGGGGCATATCATATGCTATTATTTACTTTCTATGCTTTACATCCTAGAGGCAAAGCAAAAGTTAGATCAGTATTTTGGAGTTAAGAGCGACGCAAGCTCAGTGAACCAGTAATGCTGCTACATTTAGCTTCAATATGATATTAACAAATTCCAGGAACTCAATGAAGTTAGAATTGATTTAGCTTCAATATAGTATCCCCTGCTTATATGTGATTCGTTGCTAAAGTTTCTTGTATCTGTGTTACATGTTACATACTTTGAGCTTTGTTTGGCCATGAGTGTGATCAAACTGCGAAAGAAGGCCTTTGGTTGATTTGTTTGGAATTCTAAGTATCTTTCTTCACGCCTTTGGGCGGTTAACTTTGGAATGATAATACGAGAACAACAAGGCATAGAAACTTCCTTGTGAGATGATTTTTGGCGACTTGCTGATGAGCAAACCAGGCAAGACACTAGCTCAAATTAAAGTGACACATATTCAAGATGGACACTAGCTCAAATTAAAGTGACACATATTCAAGATGGACACTAGCTCAAATTAAAGTGACACATATTCAAGATGAAGTATGTTGAGTAAGAACAACAAAATATGGGATGTGTTTGATGATAACCTGGGTGATTGGATTACATGAGGGAAAATTACACTCTTGGATGAAAGTGAAAGAGGAAAATCAATATATAACAGTAACCCTCTCCTCTTACGGCTGGTGGCCAACACAAATAACAGTTGCCTCTTTTTAGGGACTCTTCAAGGATAGACCTGGCCTTCTTCACTTTTGGGTCCATCGATGTTTTTAGAAGAATGTTTATTGTAAGCTGCCTAACACGAAAATGAAAATGTATAGGTACTTTTGTAAGTGTTTTATAGTCTGAAAGCATGTTCTGATGAGTTCTCAAAATTTAACACATTTAGACTTTAAAATGTAACCCCAAAAAAATAAAACACTTCTATATTCTCATCATCTCATCCTAAACGTAAACGTAATATAAGTGGGCTTTCCCAGTTCAGATCATATTTATAACGGAGCTTCATAAATTAAACACGAACCCCATAACATCATTTACAGGATAACTCTCCCCATTCAGACGGAATCTACAGGCAGAATGATAAGAAGTAACAACGTCTGATTTAATATTTCAGGGCCGAAATTCCTGCTGATACAGTGAGTGCTGCTGGTGGCATCATCAAAGTCAAAGACAAAGGTGGGAGGTGAAGGGCTTTTAATGGTAACGACATCGCACGCAAGTCAATGGACGACGATCTTCATATTCTAGCGGGGAATTTGGGAAGATCGTCCCTGCATGCTTAAAACTTCTGATTATTTTGGTCGCTGCTTTGAATGTAACCATTTATATTTGATAAATATGGTATCCTATCACAACAATAGTTTCTTGTTAGTTTGTTAGTCAATCCGTGTTTTTGTTGCTTGTTATGCATTTGAGCTCTTGCTCTCTCAGTCACTACGCTGAATTTTTTTCCCCAAAAGGTAACTTGAAAAAGAATAAACAAGCAAACAAGTTCATGATTTTCAGGAGTTAGGTCTGACTCACAATGAGACAAGTCAAGGTTCAAATCCCCATTAAAAAAAAATCCACGTTTAATACCTGATAATTTCTCGACTAGAATTGCCTATAATAAAAATAGACCTACGCATAGGAAGAAGGGGGAGAAAAAAAGTTTATGACTTGTTCAATTTGGATCTAGTTTATCCAATTTTACGTTCCCAAAAAGCAAGATATGGATGGGGCTGCCCAGATTCGGCATTGGGCTATCTATCTCGGCCTATTTTGCTTAGCCCTACCAGCCCAATAAAATAAATACTGCAAATAACAGACTTAGAAGGGAGGGGGGAGGGAATGATGTGATTTTTACTCATCCGGCACAATACATAGTATAATTTATTATAAATTTCGTATTACAAATAAAATATAAGTGATGCTAATGCTCTTTAGATCGTCATATCCGTCTCGCTCTGTATGGACCGAACTAGTGATTAGCATCTCCTACAGCATTTGGAGCTAACCGACTTCCTGCAGCAATTTCATCTTTCTATTAAGCTTTTTGACAATTCAATTAATTATTCCCCTTAGAACACACGTGAAAAAGAAAAGTACAAATGGAAATGCGAGTTTGACCTCCTCAAACTTGTTCCACATTTATTTGATCAGAATGCATCGTATTGGTGATCCTTCAGCACCAACCAACCTAAGAGGTAAGCAATGGATTGAATATACTCCTGCTGGCACATCATCAAGCTTCAGGGCTTCCACCAGAATGATTTCCTGACGCATTCATACTTCTTAGTGCATGGCTTAAATAAATTCTTATTCTCTTCCAATGAACATACTGTAAGAAAATTGAATGCTAGCAATCTCATCTCAAACTTCCATACAGCTATCCAGTAATATATATTGAGCCAGAAGACGTGACACATAGCAAAGGTAAAAACAATCTACGAGTTATGATGTATGCATTCTCAAATCTTAGCCGTAATGTTCACTCACCCTGCCTTCAAGAAAAGCTAGATGAGATGGAATCAAGTCATCGTAAGCAGCAACAGATAAATAATCAACACCTGCATTCCATTGCAGAAAGTGGAAGTGTAAAGCACAAGAAACGTAAGCAGAAGAAAACGACCCAATACACAATTGTGCAACGAGACACACAACAGAGATGATCATGCTCCATAAAACCAAGGAAAACGCAGATATGACATTTTAAATGGAAAGGAAGGTCACAGATTCAGAGCAATCTTCTGAAAGGCTAATTTATTTGCCATCTCCGAATCCTACTGAGACCTGAAAGTTTTTGTATTCATCATAAAGATATGGCTACTTTAAGCCATAGAGCTGCTTGATCACACAACTATTCAACATTATGACTGGTGTTTATCTAAACTGGCATGACATCCATAAAACACCGGTATTGTCACAGTGGAAAAAAGAATGTCGAGATGTCCCTCTGTGACAAGGACAAAAGGGCAGAGGAGATGCCCTCAGGAAGTAGAATCTAAAAGAAATATTCATATCTTGCCTATGAGTTTGATGTCAGTGTTCTCTGTTAGCCATTTTGCTCCATCCACCATGAATCCCACGTAGCTTGTGTCGAATTCCTTTTGAAACATAAGCCGCCTACAAATATAGTATGTTTAGTTCACATATGGCTTCTAATGGACTAGAAATGATCGAATATTGTCGTCACGAGATTTTAGTTTGGATCATCAAGGTAAAAATAGCAATATCTGATCATGCATACATGTACAATGTACAATATTACTGTAGCTATCAAAACCTCGAGTGAAAACTATATATAAAGTCTGCCACACATTCACACCTTTTCAACAGCCTATTTATCACAGAGACACAGATGGATATAACCGTTAAGTGATTGCGAGAAATAGATAACAAGTGGTTCAGCCTCAGTGATAGAAAATAAAATAAAATAGTTAGCGGACTGAATTAAAAAAATTCAATCTGTTCCTCTCAACGATATTTAACGCTACTTATCCAAAATATATTCGCGACATGCACTGGGTATTCTCTGAATGCTTCAATTCCTTTAAAAATGACTTCTGTCTTCCTCACTTCTCTACTCCTCAACTTCTCGGTATGTAAATTGTACAAAACAAATTTAAACAGTCACAGTTCATAAGTATTTATTTATTTTGTTAAGACTTGACAGCTTGTTCATACCCCTTTTAAAAATTTTAAATCTGAACTGTCTATATTTGATTTTGACCCCACTCAAAGGGATAAGGCTTTGGTTGTTGTTGTGCCTATATGTCATTTGAACAGCTTAGAATTTAAGAACCAGAGAAATGAGGAGGAGAGAAAGCATGTTACAATTCCTCTTCAAACTTGTCTCTTCAAATTTATGGCCTTCTGAGTATTAGAGGCAATAAGCAGGAGAGAAGCATATTACGGTTCCTCTTTTAGTATTAGAGGCAATGTCTGAACTTGTAGAAGTAGATGAAAAATTATCAAAGACGGACGTAACAATCACACCCAAAAAAATCACGGTAGTTATTCTGTTAGTGCTAGGGAACTATAGCAAAGAAACACTTTTAAATATACCAGAGAGGAATTGACTGAATCTTCATTTTATGCCAGACTGGTAAAAGAACATACTCTTTACATCAGCACCAATACGCACAATGTGAAGAAGTTACCTGTCAGTATTCAATGTTCTGAAGAGAACACGACGTACACCCCTTGGAATATGTAGTGACTTCATAACCTCGGCTGAAAAAAAGTTCAAACTCAAATTCAATTACTACTTTTGAGATTGATCACTGGAAAACTTCCACCCCACTCCGTAGTTGAGAGGGCCATTAGATTACACAATTTTTTAACAGAAAAGCTATATTTACCAAAAAAAATTATAGGCATATAGGGAAAAACATTGAACTCCATGAATGCCATAGATGCGATAGTTTCCATCTAGCCCAAAATTGGCAAAGTCCTCCTAAGTTGCCACACTATTTGACCCCTTTGTGCCACAGGTAACTAAAAACGACAAAAATAAAATGTCTTGAATAAGTTAAATCATTAGTTGTACCTACCACTTATGTTTGCGTCTCTTGGAACGTCGACCAAAAGTGCAGGACCTACATACAGAAAGTCGGAAACAAGCTTATTAAATACCATTACCATTTTACTGATTTAAGACGGAAGATCATGCCACTCAACATTCTTATACACAGAGTAAGACAGTGGAAAGAGTACCTGGCCTTCACAAAGCCAAAATGGAATTTGATGTGAAGAAGTAATAATTATACGAATAGAAAACAACCAAAAAAAAAAGAGTGGAAATACAACCACTTTATTTATACATTTAGGTAATTGAGAGTGCGGTGAAAAATACACCACTTTCTCAGTTAACTTACAGCTTATACGCCCATCACTTAGTAGACTTCAAGTTCTTAAAACAAGTACCAGAGCTTTCCAACATGGAAGTGAAAGAAAGTTAGGATTTCAAGTTTGACGAAAGGTTGAGTTTCATTTTTTTATTTCATAATCTTTATACCAAAGAGAATGTATTTTCAGAACAAAAACAATATCGATAAGGTACTTGCCACAAAAACATCCAGTGGTAAACGTACAATAGAACCGCAGGCTTGGCGTACACGCCAGCTAAAATATTATACCGCAATTTGCCTCACAAATTTGAAGCAAATTATAAAACTTCAGACAAACTTAACCAGCAAAAGTTAAAAGCTCAAAAAAATAAAAATAAAACGCGTAATATGAACATGACCAGCATATATCAGAGTAAAAACTGAAAAGAAGTTCAATTGAGGAAGACAAGGGGATCAAAATCAAATCAACACCATCAAACAATCAAACAGAACATCACGATTATCACTCACCATTGAGGACTTCCAAATCGAGTGTGTCGACGTCAAACCCCGCATCGAAGTAATGGTCGAAGACGTGCCCCGGGGCGTCAACATGGGTGCCTGTGTGAGTGGGGATCTTCATTTCGGAGTTATTAGCTCGAGACCCGTTTTTCATGCTTTTTTGAAGCCAGAGGAAGTGGCCAAGGCCATCCTTAGACTCAAAAACTGGCATGTCGGGGACGTACTTGTGACTGATATCGAAGATTCGGCCACTGCCGTGAACTTCTCGACGAGGAGGGATAAGGACATCGTCGCCGCCGGCTAGTGAGCACTCACCAGAACCAGTACCTGGGGTAGTGGGGTAGGCTTCCGGGGTGGCAACGGCGGGACGGAGTGAGATTGCGAGGCTCAACGCGCTGACGAAGAAGAGGAGAGATGATCGTAGCGAGGAATCCATAGTGAGTGAAGCCGTGAGCAGAGCAAAACAGGAAGGATTGCGAATAAGAAGAGAAACTGGGGTAAAATACTTTAGAATCGATGTTCGGGATTAGAATATTCTGTCGAGCGATAAGTCGATCCTCTGCATCAGAGATTACGATAACGAGCAATCGCAAACGGGACGGAACTCGGAGCTCGATTTGCTCTTGAAATAATCAGCGTATTATTCATAGATCACCAGATTTAGTTATTTATCCTGGATGATTTCTTAAGAATATTTTTATAGTCAGGAAAATTAATTACATGCCAAATTTTGAATAATGATGTAAACATTTATTAATTTCAAAATTATAACTATTTGGACATTTATTATATTTTTATCATTTTTTAAGTTAATTTGTATATTACATTAATTTAAAAATTTACTACATTTTCTTTCATACTTTCTCCCTCTTATTTAATGGTTTTGGAAAAAACTTATTTCTTACATATTTATTATTTTTAATTATGTTTTTGAATTGTATTACTACCTTCAGTCCTTAATATAAGACCCCGTTTGACTTTTTGTTTGGTCCTAATTATAAGACCACAATCCATTTTTTTCTCATATTTATGCATTTTTTTTCAAGATAGTCCTTCTAATAATGATAGTTTTAGCTAATACACTTAATTAGCAAGGATATTTTAGGAACGACAACACTTATTTATTACAAATAACTAACTTAACTTACTTCTTTAATCTCCTCAAATAAATCAACTGGGTCTTATAATTAGGACCGGAGGTAGTATTTAATTATCAGGCTCTTATAAAAAAAAAACACAATTGAGCATATATAAACATGTTAGTTCTTAAAAAAAAAATTATAGAATGTGCTTAAAAACCTTCGTTTTTCACATGCTAGATCAAATATGTGTGCGTATATATTGACATGTGTTTTTTTTTTTTGAAAAGAATGCGTATACTCAAATTAGTTGTCACTTCGTGAAATCTTTCTCTTGGCACAAAAGTTGGTGTGGATATAAGAATGTGCAAGGGGTTGGGCACTGTTTAACCTGTAGCAACCTTTTATTGATGCAATGAGCCGCGAATCGCCGATACAATCAACGGTCTGGGTTGCTTCGACATGGAAAAACAAAAATTCCGCAAGATGCACGGCATTGTTCCCCTTCCCGTTCCCGCTCCCGCGAGAAGCCTGACTGAGCCGCCACTAATAATTCTCATCCACATTATTTGTAGTATTTTTTCACGAAGCCCTTCACTAGCCTTGGTTCCCAATTCAAATAGATGCTTTCACTTGACCCAATAATTTTATATTTGCAAAAATACCCTAAAAAGTTAATTAATACAATTTGCCAAAAAAAAAGGCCTATGTACAAAAATCAAATTAAACATTGTTAAAAAAATCACATTACATATATCTGATTAAGCATTTTAGTATTTTTAAACTCTTTTCAATAATACATTAAATGTTTTATTTTGATAATTTTAATTTTAACATTACTCCTAAAATTATCACATTCTATATATATATATGTTTAAACATAAATCAGATCACACAAATTAAATTTTGTTCAATCCATTTTTTTACCGCTGATTCAAATACAGCCTTTGCTTTTTGATAATTCAATTAGTTATTCCTCTTAGAACACGATAGGAAAAAGGAAAAGTACAGATGGAAATATGGGTTTGACCTCCTCAAACTTGCATGTTCCCCATTCATTTGATGAGAATGCATCGTATTGGTGATCCTTCAGCACCAACCAGCCTAAGAGGTAAGCAGTGGATTGAATATACTCCGGCTGGCACATCATCAAGCTTCAGGGCTTCCACCAGAATGATTTCCTGAAGCGTTCATACTTCTTAGTATATGCCTCAAATAAATTCTCATTCTTTTCCAGTGAACATACTGTAACAAAATTGAACGCTTCCAAATCTCAGCTCACACTTTCATAAAACTATCCAATAATACATATTGAGCCAGAAGACGTGATGTATGATCAGAAAGCTACAAACTAGATTGTATATTTAAATCGGAGGTAGTATTGCCTATTAGTAAACCATGACACATGCATTCTCAAATCTTAACCATAATGTTTACTCACCCTGCCTTCAAGAAAAGCTAGATGAGATGAAATCAAATCATCGTAAGCAGCAGCAGATAAATAATCGACACCTGCATTCCATTACAGAAAATGGAAGTGTAAACACAAGAGATGGTTATGCTCCATAGCTACACAGTGAAAAACACCCCAAGTTTTGCACATAAAAACCCAGATACGGCATTTTAAATGGGAAGATAGGTCACAGATTCAGAATAATCTTCTGAAAGGCTAATTTATTTGCCGCCTCAGATTCCTCCTAAGACCTGAAAAATTTTGTATCCAACATAAAGATAAGGCTACTTTAAGCCCATAGAGCCGCTTGATCATACAACTACTCAAAATTATGCTGGAACATCTCTCAACTAGAAAATAAAAGAAACTAAATGGTGTTCTTCTCATTTATATGCAAAAACATGATTGAATGTTTATCTAAACTGGCATGAGATCCATGAAACACCTGTATTGTCACAGCGGAAAAAGAATGTCGAGATGTCCATCTGTTCAAAGTTATATTGACCTGGTTATTCAATGAGGACAAAACGGCAGAGAAGATGCCCTCGGGAAATACACTGAACCTAAAAGTAAAAATTTATATCTTGCCTGTGAGTTTGATGTCAGTGTTCTCTGCAAGCCATTTTGCTCCGTCCACCATGAATCCCCCATAGCTTGCGTCGAATTCCTTTTGAAACATCAGCCGCCTACAAATATAGTATGTTTAATTCACATATAGCTTTTAGATCATGGTAGTTCTTCTGTTAGTACTATGGAAGTATAGCAAAGAAGCACTTCTAAATAAACCAAAAGGGAATTGACTGAGTCTTCGTTTTATGCCAGACTGATAAAAGAATATACTCCTTACATCAGCACCAATACAGACAATTTGCAGAAGTTTACCTGTCAGTATTCAATGTTCTGAAGAGCACACGACGTACACCCCTTGGAATTTTTAATGACTTCATAACTTCGGCTGAAATAAAGTTCATACTCAAATTCAATTCCATCCACTCCATAGTTGAGAGGGCCATTAAGTTACACACAATTCTTGAACAGAAAAGCTATATTTATCCAAAAAAATTTATAGGCATATAGGGAGAGAGAGTGAACTCCATGAATGCCATAGACACGATAGTTTCCATCTAAGCCCAAAATTGGCAAAGTCCTCCTAAGTGGCCACACTTTTTGACCCCTCTGTACCGCAAGTAACTAGCAACGACAAAAATAATACGTCTTGAATGAGTTAAATCATTAGTTACACATACCAGTTATGTTTGAATCTCTTGGAACATCGACCAAAAGTGCAGGACCTACATACAGAAAGTCAGAGACAAGCTTATTAATTACAATAGCAATTTTACTGATTTAACATGAACGATGATGCCACTAAAGAGAATAATGAAAAGAAAAACATCCCCTGGTAAATGCACAATAGACAGAACCGTAGGCTCGGGATGCCCCAGCAAAAATATTACTCCTCCGGTCCTTAATATAGGACCCAATTCTTGAGTTGGTTTTGGTCCTAAATATAAGAGCCATTTCTCATATTTATCAATTTTCTCTAAATTACCCCTATGAATACTCCCTCAACCATAATCAAATAAAAGAGGGAGAGGGGGTATTAAGAAAGATGATTATGGTGTTTTAGAAAAAATATGTCACTTTTCTTATAATTAACTAACTTACCTAACTTCCTTAATCTAATCAAATTAGTTGAATGGGTCTTATATTAAGGACCGGAGGAGTATTACATAGTAGCACTTAATATATAAATTAGTTTACTAATTTGAGTAGATTGAGAAAATTTGTTGAGTTAGTTCTTCATAATAAATAGGTGGTATCTTTTCTAAAATACCCTTACTAATCATATATATTAGTTAGAACTACTATTTGATAAAATATTTAATAGGTGCAACTATTAGAAGGATTATTTTGAGCAAAATGTATAAGATCTGAGAGAGACAAAATAAATTAAGATGTTATATTTAAAACCACATTGAATATTAAACTAGTTCTTATATTAAGAGTCGGCATAATATACCACAATTTGCCTTACAAATTTCAAGCAGGTTATAAAAGTTCGGACAAACTCAACCAGCGAGAGGCGAAAGCTCAAAATAAAAATAAAATGCATAAGATGAACATGACCAGCACATATATATGAGACTAAAAACTGAAAAGAAGTTCAGTGGAGGAAGACAAGGGGACCAAAATCAAATGAACAGCATCAAACAATCAAACAGAAACATCACGATTATTACTCACCATTGAGGACTTCCAAATCAAGTGTATCGACGTCAAACCCCGCATCGAAGTAGTGGTCGAAGAAGTGACCCGGAGCGTCAACATGGGTTCCTGTGTGAGTGAGGAACTTCATTTCTGAGATATTAGCAAAAGACCCGTTTTTCATGCTCGTTTGAAGCCAGAGGAAGTGGCCAAGGCCATCCTTAGACTCAAAAACGGGCATGTCGGGGACATACTTGTGACTGATATCGAAGATTCGGCCATTGCCGTGAACTTCTCGACGAGGAGGCGTGAGGACATCGTCGCCGCCCCCTAGCAAGCATTCGCCAGAACCAGCAGCGGGAGTGGTTGGGTAGGCTGCGGTGGTGGCAACGGCGGGATGGAGTAGTGAGATTGCGAGGCTCAACAGGCCAATAAAGAAGAGCAGAGATTATCTTAGCAAGAAATCCATAGTGAACGAAGGTGTGAGCAGAGCAAAACAAGAAGGAACATAAACAAAAAGAGATAACAGTGCTAAAACATATGATTTTATGCCTCAGGACATGTTAAGAATTTGAATATACAAGTGGGAATGGTTGGCAATATATATATATATATATATATATATAGGCATGAATGTATACTATAGGTGCGTAATAAAATATCTCTATCCATATGTGCGTGTTAAATGTTGATATATATGTCAGGATACTGATGAAGCTAAATGGATTCTGGGTTTTGATAATTTAAATGCCTCTATTTGTTATACGTAATGGATGACGTTGCCACATTTGCTCGAGCGAGTTGGATTTTGATTCTTTAGAATTGTTTATATGGCTCATAACCAAACACCCAGATCACGTGGCTTATGTATCCTTCCGTTAGCCCCGAATTTAAACACCAAGACCACATTATTTGTATTTATTATGGAACCCATTCATTTTTATTTATCCATATTTTCGAGGGGGATCACAGGTCTTCCGAGTTCCGAAAAGAAAATTCTCTTAAATCGTGGAGACTGGAGAGAGCTTTTAAGGGTCTGTGATGGATTTTGATGAGACATTGGCCCTAAGAATGTGATTCACTTGACCTGCCTTGGTTCCAAATTCCAATAGATGCCAACCACAGCGTCGCGCTGAGGACGATTGTATGTTTGCAAGGTTGGAATCAACTTGGCATCACAGCCACAACATGATTAGGTTTGTATAAATTGACTATGAAGATGACGTGTATACGGCAAGGTAATACTGCCTCTCATCCTAATTATAAGAGCTAATTAACTAATTTGAAGAGATTAAAGAAATAAGTTAAATTAGTTATTTGTAATAACTATATATTATCTTTTTTAAAATATTTTTACTAATCAAGTGTATTGGCTAGAACTACTATTATTAGAAAGACTACTTTGGAAAAAATATATATATAAATATGAAAGATAAAATGAATTGACGTCTTATATTTAAGACCAAAATAAAAATCAAATAAAATCTTATATTAATGACTGAAGATAGTATAACCGGCGAGCGAGTTGATGTGGAATGGGTTATTGGGTTTAGCACGTATATTATTTTGGACTTTTCAGGTCCAAGAACAAAATTAGTTTTTTTGTACCGATAGTTTTGACTTCTTACAACTCCACTCCTTAACTTCAATTTAGTGCAACTCATTTATCCCTTAAACTTTAATTCAGCTAGGAACCATTTAAAATTTTAGTTCACATCCTAAATTTTTCAAAGGTTAGGTTGTATGTAATCAAAGTTCAGTTCAGGGACTCAATTACAAATGAACTTAAATTGAAAGATTAAGTTGTGCTAAATTAAAGTTCAGATGTTAACTTGCAACAAAGTCAAGAGTATAAGAATCAGAAGGTTAATTTTCTCAAAAAGATTCCGGTTCCAAGTGAAACCAACCATTTTAGGGATGAAGCAGAGCAGAAGCATGTGTTTAGGCCTTTCGGAGGCTAAAGGACAATGCATTTCTTGAATTTGATTATGCTCAAACAAAGGCCGGTAACCGGGAACATAATCTCACCACAGAATTATAAATACTTACGCACTATTTGCTAGGAGGGTTTTTGAGGGGAGGAGAAGAGAGGGATGGAGAGATTGTGTTTGGTTCAGAAAAATGAAGAGGGAGAAAAATTTTTGTCTTTTAGTACTTCTCTCCCCTCCTTTTGTTTCCTTCTAAATTTAGAGTTTTTTAGAAAGGAAATACTGACTAAATTATCCATGTTAGTTTTTTAATATTTCAAATTTATCTTTTTTAGTACAATTTTTTTTTACTTTTTGCTTTTTTTTATTTTTTTCTTTTTAGCCCCTACTATTCTTTTACGAATTTTTTTTTACTTCTCAGAGGTTCTTTTTTTTTTTTTGCATATTTTCTTTCTTTGATTTCATCATTTCTCACGCTCTCTGTCATTAATTTTCCACATCTTTTTCTTTTGTCTGATCCTCCGTCTCATTCATCTTATCAGTATTATCAATATTATTTATTTATTATGTATAAATATATTCTTTATTGGTTTATATGAGTTGAAGTCATTGAAATCTTCAGTTTATAGAAGTATCTTTCATGGTTCAAAAAAAAAAAAGTCGTTGAGATCTTCCCATACTCTCTGCCATTAATCTTCCAAATTCATTGATATGCGTGTCCATATATACGTATTTTAATTCAATTTCATTTTTTATGCAAAACTCTGTATTATCTAATTAAGTATGTGAAGTTGCGTACATTATATAATTAAGAATGAAATAGTTCAAAACTTGTATTATAAGTTTATTGTTAATTGATATAATATGCTAAAGATTTTTTTTTATTGACATTCATTTTGATGTATAATCATTTATAATTTATTTGTGATGTCTCAGGGTATCTGGTTTTTTAATATTCACAAATTAAAAAATAATAATTATGATATAAATATCATCATAAAATAATAATAATAATCTAAATAAAGAGGCGAGAATATATTTGTCAATTTATAATTAGTTCCTTTCCCTTCTCTTCCTAAACCAAATAAGAAATATGCCCTCCACTCTCTTTCCCTCCAACCAAACAAAACTCATCCCCTCCCCTCCCCTCCCCTCCCCTCAATTCACCTCCCCTCCCTTCCCCTTCATTCAATCAAACAAAGCCTTAATCATTTAAGTTGCAGTTGTGTCAAATTTAAGGAAAAATCACATATAAATAACACTTGAATTCTAAAATTCCAGATTAGTCATTCTAATTTCACAAAAACAAATAGGTCTATAGGTATTAAGTTGAGATTTACAAATTTTAGCAAATTACTTTAATGCCCTTTCTCTCATCCTTGTTTGTTGTCTCTCTTACTTCATATTCAGAGAGCTCTTCTCTCTCTTCAGGTCCTCTTCTTCTTTGAAGGGCGTCGAACTGAAAGGCTAGGCATGAATTGTCAAAGGATTCGATGAAAAAGAAGAAGATGTGGTCTCTCCTACAGCGTTCTGATATGTTCCTAATGAATATTTTATGATGTTTGGGGTTTGAGACTTGGCACCTCCCGTCTTTCATCTTCCCTTCTCAATCTCATCACCAAACCCATGAGAGAGAGAGAGAGAGAAATCAGTAAAATTTAGAGAATAAGTAGAGAAAAAACAAGGGAGATCGAGAGAGAGAGAGGAAGAAGAAGCACCCATAGAACTAGGGTATTTTTATGCAAGGTTTGAGAGTATATTGATTACCTTTCTACTATCTTCTAATAAAGTTTATTTTTAATATCTGCTAATTTGTTAGAAGGAGAGCCAAGCAAATAAGTGAAGAGTGGATGCATATTGTTTCAAAAAGAATTTCCCGGGGTCAATGAAGAAGTTTAAGAAGAGTGTTGTATACACAAATGTATTATCTAACTATTGTTATAATATTTGACTTGTGATTGTAGATAAAATTTGTTTAAAAAAATATATTTAATCACTATTATTGCACATTTATTGATAACAAGTGCAAATTATGTTTACCTTTAGGTGTCATTATAATAAATGTAGCTTTTAACAACATTTGCGAAGTGATTGATAACTTTCAAAATGAATATATCAATTTCCATAATATGTTTTACAATCTCTTTATTTGTAACCATTTTTAATCTATTTGCACACAATTTTACTAAACATATAATGAGAATAAGAACTTGTGAAATAAAAATGACTATTTGCATAAAGAATTTTACAATTTGTTATAACCTATTTGCAAACAGTTTTACAAAACCAGTAAAATGAATCACAACTTAGATAATGAAAGTTGTTATTTGCATTAGGGGATTTATAACTTGTTTATTTGTGACTATTTTTAATTCTTTTACCCACAATTTTACTAAATATATAACGAGAATAACAACTTATGAAATGAAAGTGATTATTTACGTAATGAGTTTTGCAACTTATTTTAATCAACGTGTTAGTATGTGAAAATATTCAACTGCCTTTTCTTTTTCTTACTCTAGGGGTGTATTAGTCATTCTATCAAAGTCTACGAATCCGAAATTCATATCTCATGCCTATTTGGTCATTTCATTTATTTGGATCACCTTTTTTTGTTCTTTTTCAATTTCAGTGAGGTTTTTTTTGGGTCATTTTCTCAATTTTTAATCCTTAATTCAGACTAAAAAAAATGAGGAGTCTCTATTTTGTAATTTAGATGTATATATACTATTTATGGTCCTTAATGAAAAATCTCATTTGATTTTTGTTTTGTTTTAAATATAAAACCCCAATTCACTTTATCTTTTATATTTATTCATTTTTTTAAGGTAGTCATTCTAATAATGACAATTCTAACCAATAAACTTGATTAGCAAGGATATTTTAGGAAAGACAACACCAACTAATTTAATTTATTTTTTTAATCTATTTAAATTAATTAAATAACTTTTATATTTAGGATTAGAGGTTGTATTTAAAAGATGAAGAACATCAGGTCGTGATGATTAAGAAATAATGACATACAACAGAAAAGGGTAGTTGGGTTGTCCGTTTGCTATTTTGGGCCCGAAGTGGTAATGACGGCAAGTAGGGCCTTGCCGACAAAGGAGCTGCTTTTAATCTATACGGACCTCTAAATTGTGGTTCTCCATGTTTTACCACCCCACCAATCCGTGTCCTTCCCTCCTTCCCGCTTTCTTTACCCTTTACTTGTGATCCTTCTCTATAATCGAAAGCTTTTTTTTAAAAAAAAAAAACACACACACACACACACAAAATCATATTATTGATAATTTGCAAATATTTATTATATTTATGTCATTATCTAATCCCAACACACTATTATTCAATGCACCTTTAAAAATTTTAACCGTGAAAATTATTTTGGATCCAATTTTACCTTTTTCCATTTAGATGCTATAAGAGAAATTGTTGTTACAATCTTCAAAGATTAAATTCTTTCGTAAATTAATTAACTTTTTTCTTCATAAACTTATATGATCATCACAGTTATGATTTCTATAATTAAAACCTCTAGTCCTTTCATATTGGGTTTGTTTTTAAGGGGATTTGGATCCTTTCCATACTCTTTCTCTCCACTTCTAATTCATACTAAATCCTATTCGTTCATTCTGGCGATTCATTTAGTTACTGCTATCATAAGGAAGCATTATAATCTCACTTTCAAAGGCATTTAAGTGATCCTAAAATCCGAATATATATATCTGCCAACAATCCTAATAATAAATATATGATATTTAAATCAAATGAACAGTTAAATAAATGAGTAAGATTAATTAAGTATAAATAAAGAGTATGGATAGATTGTAAATCCCTCGGATGTTGATGGTTTAATTTGTTCTGGTTTTTGTGCTTCCAGTTTCGTTCAAACGTGTTTATCCTTTCGCTAAGGGGGGGAAATCTTTGCATGCTGGAACGGAGCTGGGAGGTCCGGGTCACCTGGTACAGGAGAGAAGCCAACCAAATTGCTGATCGTCTTGCTCGAAAAGCTCTGAATTGTGCTAGCGGAGTTGCTTGTTTTTCTAGTATTCCTCACTTCATTTCGGAACTGGTTGACAGCGATAATTATGCTGCCTGTAAAACTTACCTAATCTTGCGCATGCTTTATATAAAAAAAAAAAAAAGAAAGAAAGAAAGGAAGAAGCAGAAATCTCACATTAATTAATTACTTAAATATTCAATAATTCCAAATCACAAAACTACCCCTTGTCTGTGGGCTCAGGCAAAGGCATCGGACTCTCTCATCAGAAAGAAGGGGTTTGATCTTGAGGAGTGTCACTTTGTTGTGGTTGCAATCACGACGTTAGGAGAGATATCACCAGAGTATAATAAAGCAGGAAAACTCCTACCTATTGGGTCAGGAAAAAAAAGAGCCTTGCTTGTCATGTTCTCATAGAGATAGGTCCTAGTAGGTGAGTCTAATTTTTTTTCTAGAATTTCTCTTACCAAAAAACTGAATATAAAATGCTGTGGGAACACCGGCCGAATCAGCCTGATACCGATGACAAAACTGGAAGCCAAGTCTGAAACACTTGAATATTAATGCAACTGCGTGGGGCTGCCCGAGACACCCATTATCGTGATTTACAAAGGTCTCTTATTAATCACGTCAAACGCCCCTTAATCCTATTAATAATTCAGCAAAGAATACAAAAGTGGTAATCTTTTTATTATTATTTTAAATCAACGCAAGGAGACGCCATGAATCAAGATCATGGTCTTCCTCGGTAAACTTTCTTGCAAACAGAGATCGGTTTCTGGGCAGGCGTGCACAGCTGTGAATTTGCCGGGCAGCTCTGCAGACAATTATCACCCAAGCTGCCGGAAAGCACTGCACCGCCGTTGCCGGTGAAGAACCCAGCCGGCGGCTTCCCGATCAGGAAGTTCCCGTCCAAGAACAACCTCCTCATGGATTTGCTCTGACTGTACTCCAATGGGATCCTGCCACGTAACGAGTTGTACCGGAGTGACAAAAACGACAACACAGGATACGCGGCGAAGTTGGCGGGCGCGTAACCTTGGATCTTGTTAAACCCCAAATTAACCGCCACGAGATCACTGTTACCTCCGACCGGTCTCGAGGTCTCGAGGCCGGTAAAGCTATTGTTCGCCAAATCAACTTGCTGAAGCGAAGGTAATTGAAAGAACCAAGCCTCAATTTTGCCGGCGAGTGCGTTCTCGCTGAGCTCAACCACCTCCAATTGGTTTAGTTTCTCGAACGTAAATTTATTCAGAGAGCCAGATAATGAATTCCCCTTCATCGCGAGTTCGATCAGGTTCGGCGGAAGCAACTTCGGGAGAGGCCCAGTTAGCTTGTTGAAACTCACGTCCATTCTTCTCAAGCCAGCAAGAGAAGCCATTGCACTTGGGAGGGACCCAGAGAAGGAGTTATGAGAGAGGTCGAGACTCTCGAGCGACTTAAGGTTAATTATGGAAGGAGGGATAGAGCCAGAGAAGGAATTGGATCGGAGAGATAAGGATTGGAGGGTGGTCAGGGAGGAGAGAGACGGTGGGATTTGGCCGGAGAAAGAGTTGTCAGAGAGGTCCAAGGTGGTGAGTTGGGTGAGCTGGGAGATAAGAGGGGAGAGTGAACCAGAGTAGCCGGCGGGGTCGAGGGTGATTTGTGTGACGCGGGTGGAGTCGGGAGAGCAAGTGAGGCCGCAGACGAAGGAGGTCCGGCGAGGGAGAGAGCAAGGATCAACAGCGAAGTTCCAGGAAGCTAAGCAAGACGACGGAGGGATAGAAGACGGAATAACGGAGGCTTTGAAGGCTTTGAGAGCTTGAGTGTCTGAGGGTAAAGTGCGTGCTTGAAACAGAGGAAGGCGCAAAAGGAGAATGAGAAAGAGGAAGAGGCGTTCCAGAATTGAAGAACGTGTTCCCATTCTCAGATCTCACAAGGATTTCAGTGAAGCAAAGCAGAACAGAAGCTGATGTGAAAGGAACGAGGAGGAGGACGATAGTGGGAGCCGCAAAGCAGAGATGAACCAGTGTTATGAATGAACGAAAGAAAGAGAGAGACTTTTTGAGACAGTGGGTTGACCAAATGGCCAAAGAAGAGTGGTTGGTTAAGGCTGGAATAGCGGTGCAGAAATAAACGTAGGAGCACAGACTCTGGATTCTGTCTGTGGTCGCGCCAAGAGCTTGATTGGGTTAAGTATTTAAATCACTCAAAAGTATAATTTTGTTTCTAGAATTGCTTCTTCTTCTTCTTTTTTGTTGGGTTATTTAGTTTCCTGTCAATGATGTTGTGAATCTTTTGCCTCTAAACCAATTCACGTCATTAAAGACATGGGAGGAATTTAAAATTGAACCATAATGTTTTACTCCTTTGATTCTTAATATAAGACCCATTTAACTAATTTAGTTAGATTAAGAAAGTTAGGTAAATTAGTTAATTATAAGAAAAATGACACATTTTTCCTAAAATACTATAATCATCTTTTTTAATATCCTCTCTCCCTCTTCTATTTGATTATGGTTCAGGGAGTATCCATAGGGGTAATTTAGAGAAAATTGATAAATATGAAAAATAGATTTTATATTTAGGATCAAAACCAACTCAAAAATTGGGTCATATATTAAGGACCGGAGGAGTGTATAGCCAACTAAAGATGATTGAGTTAATACTGCTAATTTAGTTCATATCTTATAACGAAATAAGTTGAAACTCTATTGCAGATATGGAGATATAATTCACTTTTTTTAAAAAAAATGTTGATATAATCTTGGTTTGTTAAAGATGAGGTTAGTTAATGATTAAGTTGGTAACAATGTCCTGTAATTTTCAAACTCTGAGTTGGTACTCTAACCAACTTGATTCCCAATTCTCACTAATTTATTACGTGTAACAACGCTTGCTAATCCAACCACTTGTGCTCTATAAAGTGCGTAAATGAATGGCTACCTTACGGTCTGTATTTTATATACATGTAAATATTGTACATGAATATTCTTCGGGAAGCAAAGGATTTTATTATTCAAATTCATATGAGTTTTAAAATTGAATCAGAATCATTTTTTTAGATAATACAAGAAAAAGGGGATTAAAATAGGGATGGAATATAAAAAGGGAATAATTCTTACAGGTGTGAGATAGTGTCTCCTATCTCTAATTTTTCTTCATTGTTTCCTTCCGTCTCACTGCATATTAAATTGATTAAAAATTAAATCAGTCCATTAAAGCACTCGCTCAAGGAAGAGAAGAATGGAATAATTCATGATTGAATGCTTGGGCTAGTGAAGGAGAAATTATTAGCATTAATATCAGAACTAACAGAAACCAAATCTTTCCGAATTACAAACACATCACATGGGTTTTTGACCTTTTACCCCAAATGTCTCTTATTATTTGTGAAAACTGCACTATAAAGGATACCATCAATTAAAAAAGAACGAGCAAAAAAAAAAAAGGATTACACTTTACACACATATGTGGTATACTTTTATTAGAAACAATTCAGTTCGAGATACTGTCAAGTACTAAATATGAGTATTTCTCTTAAAAAAATTTAAACTTTAGTTTATCATATTATAAAGGACTAATCTCTTTTGTTAGAATTAATTTCTGTCGGTCACACAATACACCCACATAGGCAGCGTTGTTGACAAGGACAGCAACCTCAGCCGAATTCTTCACAATACAATCTTGTTCATAAATCTGTCAGCCATCCATACTCTCCCAACTAGATTCTGGGGTGTAGAGCCTCTGTTTTTTCCTTTTCATAAAACGAACGAAAGAATTGTACGAAATTGCCTCAAAAGAGAAATGATGGTCAAGAACCACAGAACCACCAAGAGCTGTCTGATGCACTTAATCCCCTTTTTCACCACTCTGGCTAAAATGGACTGACTCTTTTGTTCACAAGGATTAGAAAGCAAGCCCTTGTCTTTTCATAAAGAACGATCGAGTTTCCAAGTAGACACACCCTAAAGGTAAAACTAATTACTTAATTGATGAAATATAATTCACAAGGACTAGTGTTGATCTTTCTTTTCACTTATATATAGGGAAGAAATAACAGGACATTCGTAAGAAGTGATGGCATGTCACGTGCCCCACAGCAGAATTGTACATGGTTGAAGAGCTAATGGAGACCGTAAGAGAGGGCTGACGTACCCAAGGATTGATCAAATTCTAATGAGTCTGACTCATAATGATCATTTATCAAAGAATGACTCCGGTTATCAAATGATTGAACAACCGGGAGCAATTTACTTACGATACTTAGTTGACATTCATAAAAAGTATCTAATGAATTATGAGATCATTCATAATACTATTTCCGGTTCTAAATATAAGAGCTAGTTAACTAATTTAAGTAGATTAAGAAAATAAGTTAAATTAGTTATTTGTAACAAATAGGTATTATCTTTCTTAAAATATCCTTGCTGATCAAGTATATTAGCTAAAACTGTTATGATTAAAAGAACTATCTTAAAAAAATAAATAAATACAAGAGACAAAGTGAATTAAAGTCTTATATTTAGAACCAAAATAAAAATTAAATAAGATCTTATATTAAAGATCAGAAGTAATACTCACTTGAAAGCGTACTAATGTGCACGAGAGTTACAAATATGTACTTGTTTCAAAATTTACATAATATACTTAATAAAACAGAGTCAATTACAACAAATCCAAAAAAAAAAATTACAAAATAAGTTTAAAAAGTTATCATTTCTACCCTAATATTTGTCATTACAAGTTGCTTTGATTGTTATTGAAATTTTTTAATAATTATTTTCTTTTCTTAGAATCTCATTGTAATTTTTTTCAAAAAAAAAAAACTGCTAAGACAAATATTACCAAAAAAAGAACTTGCATGATAAGAGATTGCGCAAGATAAAATTAGAATAAGTGATAAGAAAATATAAAGTGCTATGTGATAAATTACATATATTATATTTGTACAGAAAAAAACTTATTTTGGACCATACATTATGATATCATTTCCGAGTAACCGTACATCGACCGATTTTTTTGTTGTTGTAAATTTTCGTGCCTTTAACTTCGCATACTGAAATACAAATAGATTATGATTAAAAGGGATCTTAATTTTTCCAAAAGCCCTGTTATGATTTGAAACTTCAAATCCCTTTCTTTGCCACAATGCAATTATACAACGAACATGGATAAAATTTCATCCTTAAAAACTCCGACTTACGGAATATGCAAACAATGGCCATGAACACTCCGAACAAAAAGTCATTAGTTCTTTGAGGCTGATTGGAAGATAAAAATTGCGGTCAGGACGCCAACCAAGGCTGTTACTGCCAGGGCAACTGTAGGCAGGGGAGCGGTGAGTCCAAAGTTCTGCATGACCAAACAAAAGAAAATAAGCATTCCTTTGCAACGACAGATTCAACTAATAATCATTCTTTGCACCGCTCTCACAGTTGAATATCACATGAAAGAGCGGGAGGGGCATAGTAACAAGTAGACGGTGTCAGATCTCCAGAAATAAATCAGAGTTAGTTTTCACCTAGTTTATATGCATATCACAACGCCCTCGAATTTGGTTACCACACTATGTTCGAAAAAAAGTTCATACTAGCATGAAAGGGAGCCAATAGCTAGCGACTTATAATTCATTAAATGATGCAAATAACAAGCATTGCCAAAGCTCATAAGATTGTGGGTGCCAATCAAGTTATAAGATGAATGGCATCGCCACACTTCGCGGTTTTGTTCATTTTCAAAACATTTAAGAGTTAAAATGCCATTGCCCAGGTTAATATTCTTTATACATCTTTATAGTTTGGTCGGAAAAAAATGTCCCATTTTCTGAAAGGGGAAGTCAGGTTGTGAGAGGTAGGTAACAGCTAAAAATCCCTTGCATGGAGCAAATTAAAGCTATGCAAGGCTCATAAGATAGAAACGGGTATGATGCATTGTTATTCTTCCCCTGCTCATTTCTGCTCATTACCGTAGCCATGCTATCAAATTAAAATAACTTGCTAAATACAGATAATAAATCATACCTCGAGAAGACCCTTTCCTGTAGCAATTTCAACAGTGATGGCCACTGCAAAGCCAACCATAGCTGACCGGCCTAGCCATACGTCCAAGCTGTTCCCTCCTTGGGTGCTTCGTTCACACCTTATTGAAACAGGTATTGCTTTGCTAGCAGGCTGCCTTGCATAACTTTTCCGAATCACTAGAAACAAAGTCAAACATCAGTACCATTTAGATCACTAGGTAAATGGCTGGGATGTTATTTCAACATTGTTTTAGCCCCTTGCCACCCCCAACCAAAAACGGGAAAGAGCAACTTTGAAAGCATATCAATGTTTCAGATGGCCAGCTAAGTCACAGTTCATCTAAAACCTTAGTATCACGAGATTGAAAGCAATTTTTCCAAAAATGAAAATGAGCACAGCTGGAATTAATGTAAAGTTGAATACCAGAAGTATGCTGACTAGACTATAATGTTAGCTAAAAATAAGCCGTGAAGGGCTGTGATTAGTATAGCTTAATGTCTGGCAAAAAAAAAAAATTAGCAGAGCTTAATGACTTCACTTTAACTATTTGCCTCATAATACGAGGTCTCAAGTGGTTTAGCACCCAGTGAGGCAGTGACTATATTTCCAATGAAGGGTTTTCTCTACATCTTTATTTCTATACACTACATATTTTCAATAGAATTGGCAATGCTGAAAATCATTTCTCTGTCTCTCAAAATTGGTGTTTGGTAATCTTAAAAAGTGTTTCTGAGAAATAATTTTTCGCAAAAAGACAAATTCCTTCACATATTTATTTATTTCGTAAACCGTAAAAACACTTTTAAAACCATAATTTGATTTCCATCCAAACAACCCTTAGTCAAATTCAAGGGCCGGAGCAAATAAGTTGCAAAAGGAAGATATTCCCTAGGAGCTAGGTAATCCTAAGCTAACAAAATCCAAGAGCAATATTGAGAAATAAACCCAAAAGTGTTGAGAACTACAAAGGAAACAGGGCATAGTTTTTCAATATGCAGGGCAAGGGGCGTAAATTAAGAAGTGGCAAAGCACTGATTCTTACACAGAGGGGAACCAGAGACGAAGGAAGTTCCTCTGGAAGCGACATTGGATCGGGGAAATCGACAAGAAGAAGTGGATTTGGGTAAGCTGAAAGCACAAACATCTGCAGAATAATTGGTGAATTCCAGTTAAATATGAAAACTTGGGACCAAATTAAAGCCGAGATAGAAATGGAAATGGGTTACCGCGTATAGAGACGGAGAAAGAAGCAGAGGCTTGAGCAAGGGCCATGGAGGCTGCTGTTCTTGCGGAGTAGCGAAACTAAACGGTGCTCAGGAATTGTGTTTTTATCTTTTGGTTTCGTGGGAGTGGAGACACACAGGCTGATGCTAGCTCTTTCTCGTTCCAAGATGCCCAACCATGTTGCAGACTCAGGAGATAGACACGTGGCCTCTTAGCCTTTTTTCTAATTATGGATAATTGCAAATAAAATATTTGTATGGAGCCAGAAAAACTGACCTCCTGTCACAAAAAAAAAACAAAAAAAGGAAAAACTGACCTCCGTCTTAAGACATTTATATTTTATAGGTTATAGTGTTTTTTTTAAAATTTTTTTGTCAAAATTTTTATAGACGTATTGCTTTAAAAAATGATGGCAAAAAAATTATTTAAAAATATTTGAATAAAATAATAATTCTAAAAATAGTTTTTAAAAAATCTAAAGAAAAAATAATAATCTTAACAATGAGTTAAATATTAATCTTAGTTTCATTTCTCATTATTCAAACTAATGAGTTTTTTTTTAAATGACGGATCAAACTAATGAGTTTTAAGTCTTGTAAAAGGTAATAACCACGGCTTATCTACTCTTAATTCATAAATTTTTTATTATGGGATTTTAAGTCTTTTATTGAAAAAATTAAAAGTAACTTAAGTACGATTATTTTGAAATCATTTCATGACATCAAAATACAGTTGTTATTTTTAACAATGTTACAACTTATAATTTTAAAAACTACTTTTGTTCAGAACAAAGCTTATTGTCCAAAGAAAGGATAAATAATAAATTTTCCCTTACCGGGTGCCAATATCTAAGGCAGATAAAGCTCCACGTCCCGCATAGAGAGTTTTTTTTTTTTTTTGTGGTCCCTTTTTAACAATCGTACAATATGGAGTTCAAGAATCAAGACTCCAGACGAGTCCAAAGAGAACGATATTTTTATATATTTAATTCAAATTAAAAATAGAATGATGATACTGCTGTAGAACTTAAACAGTATTAACTGAATGGACAATTATTAACTAAAATTATTAATTTGTTTCCTTTTCTGGTTCAAAAGAGTATGAGATAAACTGGGAATTATTTTGTTGGCAAAAAAAAAATTGGGAATTATTTTGCTGAGTTCGTACTTCGCAGCCTGTTCGAGGAGATCGCTTTTCTCGTCATCTGCGTAGTTGTGTTTTGCTATTTTGCTCATACTTGACGGGAAATGGCTACCTTTCCAGTTGGGACTAGTTTGCCTCCTTCACAATCCCAATCCCAGCACTTGCGGAGCCGAGCACTTCACTCTCCATTTCATGGCCTTCGCACCTTCCAATCTCCACTATCGTTATCATCTTCTTCCTTCTTTGGTTCTTCTTCTCTTTGTAGAATTACGGGTCTCAGGTTGCCTGGTAATCATGTATTGGCACGCGCTGAAGAGAAGGCTAGAGGTTCTACTTCGTTTCAAGAGCAGCAAGCTGAACAACGTCCCGAGAGACAATTTCAGGTTTCTATGTTCTATGACCCCTTCCGTTGTTTCTCTAGTTTATGCATTCTGTAATCAATGATACATCCCAAATTTACCGTAGCATTGGAAAATCGATCAAAATTCAAACTTTTGTTTAGTAGTTAAAATAAGCTTACTTCATCACTGCAATGTTCAATGTGTTGACTCCCCCCCCCCTTTTGGTTTCTGGGACTTAATAGTACACTTTTAGTCGCTCTGATTCTAATCTTAAATTGATGATTCAATCTTTTCTTTCAACATTCAGAAGTAAAGTAATTGAGTTCTCTGATCATACTTCCTGACGGTGACGAAAAATGATGATAGCCCAAGTGAATCACATTCATTGGTGGGATTCAGCACTTGTTAGGTGACAATCAATCAGATGAGATCATGTGACCAAAATACGAATTCACCTAATTACTTTTAATCCAGTAGATGGACGTAGCCAAGGCATGTTTAGGTTAACAAGTGCTTTTTTTTTTTTTGGTTACCACATAGGTAGAACATGTTAAAAGGACAATTTTTTTGGGGTGTGGGGACACTGGTATGATCAATGTGCTTCAGCCAATTACTTCAGGCGGTATGGAAATTTTGTGCGTGGGTGTTGCTTGAAATTGCAGCATCTACTTCTTAGATGCTATCGTTCACACTTAACTTTGAGATTTTATTCAGGACTTGATGTCAGAATCTGGAACATGTGATCCCCTGTGCTCAGTAGATGAAACCAGCTCACTAGATTTTGAAGAAACTTACCAGCCTAAGACTGATTATTTGAAAGCTCTCGCCATATTCGCAGCAGCTGCAGTTGGAGCATTGGCAATTAACCATTCTTGGGTAGCCGCTAATCAGGTTAGGTTTATCAATGTCACTATCTGTAAGTTTCATAGTAAGTGCATGCATTTGGAATTTTCTAATTCTGCTTTATTCTTACTTCTTTTAGTTTTACATGATCATCAAATACAGGATCTTGCTATGGCATTGCTATTTGGAATAGGATATGCAGGCATCATATTTGAAGAATCTCTAGCCTTCAATAAAAGTGGAGTAGGATTGTTGATGGCTGTAGGCTTATGGGTGATACGGAGTATTGGGGTAATATTCATATTTAATGTTGAAAAATAAGTAAATTCTTGATTAATCAGGGGCTTCATGCATATGTTGTCGGGGTTTTGAGACCTGGATTGCACTTTCAAGGTTTTGTCTAACAATGCACAGGATGCAGAGTGACATGCACTTGACGCATCTATTCCCCTGCGCATGCGGGTGTGAAATTTCATTTTCATCACCATGTTTTTGTTGCCTAAATTTGGTTATGTCTTCTTCATTCATCCTCTTCTCTCTTTGACATTCATCATGTCTCTTTGCCGCCCAAGTGATATGTATATGTTTATGATTCAGTCCATATCTGTACTCTCCTGGGTCCTTTTCAGGCTCCTTCAGCTGATGTAGCTGCTTCAGAACTGACACATGCGTCTGCAGAAGTCAGTGAAATAGTGTTTTTCTTGCTTGGTGCGATGACCATTGTTGAGATAGTTGATGCTCATCAAGGGTTTAAGTTGGTTACTGACAATATAACAACTCGAAAGCCGCGCACTCTTCTTTGGGTGGTGAGTGCTTTATTCTGCATCGTGTTATCACTTCAGAAGAATTTTCTAGAGTCTATTTTGTTTTTCCTCATTTATTTGACTGAATCGGTTAAAATCTTGCATGCTTTTTTTGGCTGTCATTGGGTGGTATTTGCAAGCTTTCCTCCTTGCAAAGAGATGCAGTTACCAACTTAACGTGAAGGCTATGCTGAAATGCAACACTTCTTCCGGTGTCTTATAATCTTAACTTTCATATTTTTAAGGAATAAAATACATTATTTTTAGAAGAATGGGCAGCCGTAGAACCATACCCTTCTTCTGTCCCTACCCCCGTACACATGATGTGGCTTTGCAAATATGTTGTGCGAGACCACATAGACTATCTGTCTATAATAAGAACGACTGATATATCTGTTCCAGTAGCTATGAGGTTATTTTCTATGAAATGAAGATTTTGGTAATTTTTATTATTCTAAATTCTCTGTAGTTTATACCAGTGATTTTTTTAAGAAAAAACTACAAGTAAATGGTATTTTAAAATATTAATGTTATTTTTGCAGATTGGGTTTGTCACATTTTTCCTCAGTTCAGTTCTAGACAACCTGACATCTACAATTGTCATGGTTTCTCTGTTGCGGAAACTAGTACCTCCATCAGAGTATCGAAAGTATGTGTCTCTCTTCTGACAATAGTGCAATAATGTTCTGTTATTTTCAGTATAATACTCATCCATGCTCAAAGGACTAAATATAGGCTGCTTTTCTAAAATGCCACAACTAGAGCGAGTGGAGATTTTATTCCTATTCTTGTTTTTGTTCTTTAATTTTCTTATGTCCCTTCCCCACTTTCATTTGCAGCAACTTTATAGCATCGGGTTTTCGCACCCTTTTCGTTGTCATAAAGAATAGTAGCATAGACACTTTAGGGATCTTGAGAATTTTGCTCCAAGAAAGGATATATCCCCATTTGTTTCCTCTAGCACTATATATTTTTAAGATGATACCAAATTGTGGTAATCTCTTGAATACTTAATCTGTAATTTGCATTAATTATGTTTCTTGATACTTTTATTGATGGTCATATATAGTCCATGAGTAAATCTTCTAAACTTGCATTCTTGAACATTCTTCACTTGTTTATGAGGTTTAGCTATTGTGTGTCTTCATTGTTAACTTGTGCGTAGATATTTATCTGGAGTTTAAATATGTAATAGCCACAGTTTAAACAAATACCTGGATATTTCCTGTCACCCTGCCATAGTTGTATCCCAACGGCAAGAGTAGTGGAGGAGTGAGTCCCTCAAATCTGGCTTAATTAATTTTCATTCTTGACCCATCTGAGCCTCTATCTTCAAGTTTCTTTCAGAAACATGCTCCTATATGAGGTAGTGTTCAATGAGTTTGCTTATATCAATTTTGTTAAAAGCAACTTCTATTTATATTTAGACATCCTCAAGGGCTACTGATTTAGATTTATTGCAGGATTCTTGGAGGTGTTGTTGTTATAGCTGCAAATGCTGGTGGTGCATGGACTCCTATTGGCGATGTTACCACTACTATGCTGTGGATACATGGTCAAGTATCCACTTTGCAAATAATGAAGGTTATTTCCCTTGCAAATTGGACCTGTGTTATCTGTTTGCTTAGATCATGCTACAATCTGACCTGAAACATCAAGACACTGGTAATAAAATTTAGCAGTTGACATTGTGAGAGATTCTTCTGAGCCTCAGGCAGTGATAAGTAAAAAATATGTAACGTCTTGGTCAAACTTGTCCCTTGTTGTTCATTGATCGCAAGCTCAGTGCATATGTCATATAACTGGTATCAATAAATGACTAGTGTTTGCAAGTATATTCATGATTGCATTTTCTTTTCTTACAGGGATTGTTTGTGCCTTCAGCTATCTCTCTAGCTGTGCCGCTGGCTCTTATGTCACTGACTAGGTACTTCACTACGAAAAGTAATCTAGAAATGTGATTTGAATTGTAAGAATTATCTTAAGAAATTATGAGTTAAATGACACTAGCATTTTGTTCAGTGAAGTTAATGGGAAGGGACAGGATTCACCCAATGTCTTGGCATCTGAACAGATGGCTCCTCGAGGACAGCTTGTTTTCGCTGTGGGTCTAGGAGCTTTGATTTTTGTA